GGGGGCTGGGGTTCCCGGAGCTCACACCGTCTCCTCGGGACCCTCCAGGGAGGGAGCAGTATGGGATGGCCCCGCTTTGGGGCCGGTCCTTAGAAAACCTCCGCGGAGGATTTGGGGTACGGATTCAAACCAGTGAAGAGTACACAGAGCCCAGGGAAGTGACCAGCACACAATAGGTGATCAAAATAAGTGTGGAGTCTTGAGACTCACAAAACCTAGTTTCCAGCCTTACCTGTGCATGGACTGGCTGTTGAGCACATCACTTAATCTTTCCTACTGGTACTCGGATTCTTATTGGGGAATGTTTGTTGAATTAATTGTCCCATTTCATAGACAGGAAGGTGAATTCCAGAAAGAGAAAGGGGTTTGCCCACAGAGGGGCAGCTCATGGTGATGGAACTGGATTAAGGACTTCCTTTTTTTAAATATACTTTTTATTGATTTCAGAGAGGAAGGGAGAGCGAGAGAGAGCTAGAAACATCAATGATGAGAGAGAGTCATTGATTGGCTGCCTCCTGTACGTCCCACACTGGGGATCGAGCTTGCAACTGGAGCATGTGCCCTGACCGGGAATCGAACCCTGACCTCCTGGTTCATAGGTCGAGGCTCAACCACTGAGTCATGCTGGCTGGGCAGAAACCTCATCTTTTGATGACAAGTCCAGGCGGAGGGGTGGGATGCAGCTGCAGCGCACACATACTTATTGTGCACAATTTATGTGCCAGCACTATGCTGCTGCTAACACCTTGCCTCAGGTCATCCTCATAGCTCTCCTGGGAAGGACAGTGTTCCCCACTTTACGGACGGGGCAGCTGAAGCTCAGAGAAGGGTCTGCTCAAGGTCAACGGTAAGAGGCAGACTCAGAATTGGAGCCCAGGTCTGACCAGAAAGACATGCAAGAGCACGTACTGTGTTCCAGGGGTTTTGCACACATACTCACGATAACCCTTCAACTGAAGTGCTGTTGTCCCCATTCTATAGATAAGAGAGCTAAAGCCCGGAACTGGAGGAGACTGGCCTTCGGCCGCACAACAGATCTAAGGACAAAACCTCAACTCGCTTAAACGCCGAGCCCAGGGTAAGTGAAGGACACCCTGCCTGCTCCTTGCCAGGCACTGGGCCAGCTGCTTGATGCACATTCAATCCCTGTCCACCCCGGGCAGCAGGCATTACCGAACCCACAGTGCAGATGACATTACCGAGGTCAGGAGGTGAGTCACTGGCCCTCAATTCCAGCAGCGCTTAGAGACAGTGGGCCGGGGCAGGAAACGAACATTTCCTGAATATCCACGCAGGCCGACCACTTCTCTAACCCACCTCAATCCTCCAGCCTCCCCTGGAAGGTGCTACTGTCTGCATTGTGCAAGAAACTGACCTGGAGAAAAGCAGCTCCCCAAGGCGCCAGGTGCTTCTAGGGTGGAGATAAAGACTTGCCTGCCTCCAGGAGAGAGGGAGACAGGTGGATAATGTATTAAACCTCTCTGGGAGCCAAGCCCAATAGACATTAGTTCATCTAACCTTTTAACCATAGTTGGAGGTGGATATTTTTATCTCCACTTGACAGAGGCTCAGAGAGGTGACATGACTTGCCTACAGTCACACAAGAAAGCCGAAGTTCAATCTGACAGACTCTACAGATGCTTTAAATAGTCCGAGCCAATGGCTGTCAAGCTTGACCATGCGCCAGAAATCACCCACCCCCAGAGTTTCTGACTCAGCCCGTCTAGAGCAGGCGGAGAAGTTGCATTTTGACAAATTTCCAGGTGATGCCAACTCTGCTAGCAGGGAACACACTTTGAGAATGAGTGGTCTAGACGGATTCTCCCCACAACCCTAGTTGATAAGCACTCACTATGCCCATTTTGCTGAGGAGGAATTAGGTTCTGAGCGTGGCGCGTCCAAGATCCCACAGTAGACCGCTGGGATGCAAAAATCAAATTTGTCTGGGAAAGGGAGACATCCTGTATAAGCATCCCCCAGGTGCCAGGCGTTTGTTTATGCCAATGAAACGAGGGTGGGGAGGCTCAGTGATTTGACCAATGTCCCCCGGTCAGGGAGTGAGGACTAGTCAAACCCAAGCCTGACTCTTCAGTCCAGAGGGCATCTCATACCTACCCAGCGCCTACTGCGTACCAGACACTTCACAGAGAGCATCCGACACCCCTGGGCGGTAAATGGGGCGGGGGGGGGGGGATTTGGCGATCTTCCTGTAAAGAATGTCCGGGGGACCCCCGCCTAAGGGCGCTTCTCCTGTGTCCACAGGGCAGAGCCCACAACCATGGTGAGCGAGTCCCCAGAGCCGGGCGCCACGG